TTTTTCCCACCCCTGAGCCTGCCACCCTCACATTCCTCCTCTCAGCAACACGTGCAGGACGGCCGCAAGGAAAACCTTGAGGGGTTCATGAAGACCTTTGATAAAGAGCTTCCAGAAGATGCTCACCCTGGAATCTACGCCCTTGACTGTGAAATGGTGAGTCGTCTGGCTGACCACAGGCCCTTGCTCAGGACTCCTGGCCCTTGCAGGGTGCAGGGGTCTTGCTGCTCCGTGGGCTGCCCCAGCTTCTCCGCCTGAAGCTTTGGGCCTGTGCAGATTTTAGGATAAAGGGCAGATGAAGAGTGTGAACAAGAATTAGGTCCTCCCTGTGGGCCACACTGTGTCTGTAACCCTAAGGCTCACTCACAGCCTTTCTGTTCCGAAAGGGCTTTTCTCCCGTTTCCAAGTAGATGCTCGTATCTGACCCCAGCACATGGCACACGCTCTGGACACAGCCCTACTCGGTTCCCTCTGCACTCAGGTGCTGTGCAGATTTCGTGCACAAATGCAGGTTTTGAGGCAGGCGCCTGGTTCACACCTGCTCTGACCCCTAGATAGGCCCCAGAAGGCCCTCTGGCCTGGGGCCAGCACCTCTGCTGCAGGGCTCAGGAACCAGGGGCAGCCTGGGTTGTGAGCACTGGGCTGGGTTGTCTGGCTGGGTGCCCAGGGAGGGAGGCGGGCCATGGGCACGTCTGAACAGTGTCCTCTGGCCTGCAGTCCTATACCACATATGGCCTGGAGCTGACGCGGGTCACAGTGGTGGACACCGACATGCAGGTTGTTTACGACACCTTCGTCAAGCCGGACAATGAGATTGTGGACTACAACACAAGGTATGGTCTGACCCTCCAGGGCTTGGGATCCCAGGGTGGTAACCCTGCACCCCACTAGGATCCACCCAGCTCCTAGGTTGGGGACCCCTGGTGCCCTCCCAGCCACCCTAAGGTCCCTGCCCCTCCTGCCCCAGGTTTTCAGGAGTGACTGAGGCTGACCTTGCCGACACAAGTATCTCGCTCCGGGACGTCCAGGCCGTCTTGCTGAGTATGTTCAGTGCTGATACCATCCTCATTGGCCACAGCCTGGAGAGCGACCTGCTGGCCTTGAAGGTATCCTGGCCCCCTAGGCTGTGTCCTCAGAGGGCGGGTGGGGCTGTGGGTCAGTAGCCAGACAGACGCTCTGGAATCCTCACAAGCCCTGGATGCCTTTGCGCCCAGCCCTCCAGGGCCCTAGACCCTGAAGTCCCTGACAGGCTTGCCGTCCCACAGGTCATCCACAGCACCGTGGTGGACACGTCTGTGCTCTTCCCACACCGCCTGGGACTTCCCTACAAGCGCTCCCTTCGGAATCTCATGGCCGACTACCTCAGACAGATCATTCAGGACAATGGTGAATAGTGGGGCGGGGGGCGGCCGGAGGGGAGTTGGTGGGAGCTCGGTGGGTCCCCAGGGCTGGCTCATTCTGACCTGCCTGCCCACTCCGCAGTGGATGGGCACAGCTCCAGCGAGGACGCCAGCGCCTGCATGCACCTGGTGATCTGGAAGATTCGAGAAGATGCCAAGACCAAGCGGTGACTGCCGCCCGCCCCTCACCCTCCTGCTCCTGCCTCCCACTGCCCCTGGCACATCCTCTAGCCCCAGGCCTCTTCCAAAACAGTGCAATAAATCTCGAGAGCTAACCCTGTCCACATCACCAAGATACGGAGCGGAGAGCACAGGAGGAGCCACGTGGCACCCAGACCCAGCTGAGACCCGCCCAGACCCCGGCCCTGGGTAGCCCCTCACGGCCTCCCCGTCTGCCCCCAATTGCTGTTCTCTGGAGACTGCTGCTGCTGACAGTGGAGGCTGGACCACCCATCCGGGCCCTGCTTGTGTCCCCAGCAGTGACCCTTGTAGGCTGACCACCTGTTCCTCCCCCCTCACCTGCCAGAGCATCCAGTGGGCCAGGCAGTCTTGTCATGGGTTTGTTTGGACAGGGGTTGTCTTTTTTTATTTTGTATGTTATTTTTATTATTTTTAATTTAAATCTGATGACCTGCAAAGTTGTCTTCCCCCCACCTGGAGGAGCAAGACCCTGGTGCTGCCTTCCTTCCTGGGGGATGGGAGTTGGGTGGGGGGAGCAATCAGCTGGTGCTGCTATAGCCACCGGGACCCCAGGGTCCAGCCTGGCCTGGGCCTGGTTGGGTGGGAATTGGTCCCCCTCAACCCACCGGGACTCCTTGAGCTCCAGGAACTGAGCCAGTCCCCAGGGCCCTGGCATCTGAACACTTCCCATCCGAGTCCCGCCTCATTGGGAGCTGTTTGTCAAGGCCCACAGCCCCCTCCCCAATGCCCCAACCCCCGGGCAGGGACGGAATAAATGTTTGTATGGATTTTAGATGCCGTGGGGTCCAGTGGTGTTCTTGGCGCCAGGTGTGACTCCGCACACCGTGGAGGTCATTGTCCCCGTGGCCAGGACCTGCCCAATGGGGGAGCAGGAAAGCCAGCTCTGGTTCCCGGCTGCCCCTGCCCTGGGGACAAAGTATTCCAGAGCAGTCCTGATGGTTGGGGCCTGTCATGCTTCCAGGCAGGTCCTGTGAGGGGCTGGATGTTGGAGAAACTACCATGGAGAGGTGCACCGTTTGCCAATCCCCAGAAATGTGTGCGCAGGGCCCCGAATCTACCCGTTTGTGTCTCGTGGCTCTTGGGGGGTGGGAGGGCCAGCCAGACTGTTCATGATTCTGCTTTTAATTTATCCAAAGTGAAGCCAGAAAAAGCCTTGTGATACAGAGATGCTGGGAATGCCTGGTCCTGCTGTGGGCGCAGAAAGGTGCTGGGAAGAAGGCTGCCAGGAGGAGGCCCTGCCACCCTGTCTCTGGCTTCTGCTGAGGCCAGGAGGGCAGCTCCTATGCTGAGGACGGAGCAGCCCCTCTCCTAGGGCTTCCTGGGCCAGTTTCCTCTCGGTCCTGGTGCCCTGGAGGTAGCGGCTGGGTCCAGTCAGGCGCTGCCACTGCATCCCTCTGGGGCCCTTTTGGTGACCAGTGACTTTACCCTCCTCTTCTGTGAACACGTCTTCTAACTAGGTGGTGCCAGTGGCTTTACAGAAACCCGTTTCTGTGTGGTGTCTGTGCCCCTCAGCACGAAAGGGGACACTGGGGAGGAGCTCCCCAGCTCAGGAGGTGTGCAAGCTTCCAGCTGGCTGGTCACTGCTCAGGGAGCTCCTCTCCCTGCCGTTACTACCCCAGGGAGGGGAGCAGGTCCCCTGACTCCTCACAGCCGCACCCAGCAAGCTCTCTCCTAAGCTCCTCTCCCACGGTCTTTCTCCTGAACCACTGGGGAGGGCAGGATGGACATTTGGTGAGTGAGTGAGTGAGTGAGTGAGTGAAAGGAAGGAGAGGTTTACTTGGCACCCAGAGGCCAAGCAGGACATGCAGACCCCGCTTCTAATGGGGAAGGGGGATCTTCATTTGTTCACTCACCCAGCATCTGCTCATAGGTGATGCTGGTGCCTCAGGGGGGCCTGAGCCCCAGGTGGGGAGAAGATACTAGGGCATCAGACATGCACTCCCATTGGGTCGGGACGGGGGCAAAGCGAGGGGCCCAGGGATGGGGTAAAGTGCCAGAGCCCACTGCCGCCCTAACTTCTGCATTGGAGGGGGCTCCTAAAGTGAAATGTGATGAGACAGGGAGCTTAATCATCTCCTTTGTGCCCCTAAGTTTGTCCCTCCCCCGAGTCCCAACTCTCAAGGGGACCCTAACTTCAGTAGCCCCTTCCACACACCCTCCCACTTGGCTGTAGTTCTCCATCTCCGACCGGGGTTCCCCCAGCGTCACCTCCTTTAGGAAGGCGCCCCCGCCCCAGCCCTGGCCGCCCGCTGAGTGGGCGCACACCAGCACAGAGCCCTATGGTTTCCTCCTGGCGTTAGGATGGTCACGGTGTCTAATAGCCTCACCCAGCCCAGGGCCCAGGTTTGTGCCCTCCCCTCGCATAGGAGGTGTGAAAACCTGCAGTTACCGCCTATCCGCGAGTCCTTCCTCCGCCTCTAGTCCCAGACAGCCCGGGGAACCTCCCATCTCCAATCCACTTTACTTAGCTCCTTTACAAGGTCCCGCCCCCAAATGCTAGGCCCCTTAATACTCTAGTGCTATTAAGAACTCCTCGCTCTAGCTGGGTAGTTCAGTTGGTTAGAGCGTCACCTGGATATGCTAAGGTGGTGGGTTCAATCCCTGGTCAGAAACAACAAGAAACAATCCATGAATGCATAAATACGTGGAACAACAAACTGATATTTCTCTCTCCCTTCTTCTCTCTCTAAAAATGTCAGTAAAGACACCCCCTCTCTCCATTAGTGCAAGACCCCACCCACTGCAGCCCCTCACCCACTGCAAGACCCCTGGGCTGGCACCACTCCCGAGATGATCCCAGGCTCTGCCTCTGCCCTGGCCCCACCCACGGGACCCGCCCTACCTCGCCCCTACCCAGGCCCTCCCTGCAACGCCCTGCCCTCACTTCTCTGGGCCCCACCTTCCGGAGGGGATGCGGACTCTTGTCTGTATAAAGGGATCTCCGGCCCAGGGAGGCCCTGGGGGAGGGGGGAGGTTGGGCCTGGAATCCTGGAATCCTTTGCCTTGAGGCTTCCTTATGTGTGTGTGGGGGGGAGGTGGGTAGGGGGGTAGACTAATGGGGTTCTCGGGTGAGCTGGTTGGAAATGAGGGGGCAAGCGCTAGGACATCTTCCTACCCCTGATACATTTTGGGTAAATTCTGGCCATCCCAGCACCCCCCCCCCCATCCTGCACCTCCTCCCCCATCCTGCACAGAGTCTTCCTGGGCTGCGGGTCCCACTGGCTGAACCTCACTTCTCATTTGGGGAATAGGCGTGGCACAGCCCAGGCTCCCGGGAGCTTCTGAGCTGGCCCTGGGCCAGGTCCTCCCCGACGGCTCCAGGGAAACCTGTGACTCAGACACCAGCCATCCTGACCTGAAAGGGAAAGACGCAGAGGACAGAAGGTGATGAGATCTGGGATGGGGGACACCCCGGGTAGAGGGGGAGCCCAGAGAAGTTGCCTGAAGAAGCCCGGCCTGTCTGAGAACTGTGAACGGAGACCAGAAGGGTGAGGAGGCAGTGACAGCATGCGGGAAGGTGCTCCCCCCCAGGGCGGGGCAGAGGGGGCAGCCCTGGCCAGGGCTCGGAGAGCTGCCTGCCTGCGGAGGGCCCTCTGGTGAGACGAATTCCTGGCGTTGATGGAATGGCCGTGAACTAGAGAGGCTGTGGGAGGCTCTGGGCTCTGTGGGAAGCCTGGTGTCTGCCTCCACCACAGTTAACTGCCCTGAGACCACGTTGAGACCTCTCAGGGCAGCTTGGCCCTTTATACAAGCTTAGCAATTAATGAATAGCTCTAGGGCCCATGTCATCAGCCAACAAACACGCATGGAGCCCCTCACTGGGCTGGGCATTGCGTCCCTCGTGGAAATGGGTTAAGAGGGGACAGCAGGGAGACCCAGGGGGAGGTGGGTGTGGCCATCCCAGGAGAGGCAACGGTGGCCTGGCCAGAGGATGGACCTGGGGTGGGCAGCAGCAGCCAGAGGTAGGACCCATTCTGGAGACCTGCTGTAAAGAAAGTCAAGCAACTTCAGCTTGGTAGCTGGAGGGACTGGTGGACATGGGGCTGTTGCAGGATGGGGATTGGTGGGGGCCCCAGATATTCAGGGAAGGACACTCAGCCATCGGCTGGACCTTCAGCGCTGGGAAGGTGGCAACCGATGGAAGTGGGAGGCGACATTTTGGAGAGGGCAGGGTAATGGACAGCGTGTGGCAAGGGCTGGGCAGCTGGTGTGACCCTGGCCCCTCTCCCCCACAGCACCACCAGCACGGACAGTCTGGCCTACGGCGAGAACCTTGAGGAGGAGGAGAAGAACTCAGGTGCATGTTTTGGGGCCAAGTGTGGGGTGTGGGATCTGTAGAGTAAACCAAGGGGCATTGCAGAGTATAGTGGCTGAAATATGGGGATGAGGAGACACCCCCCCCCCCCCCAGCGCCCCGGCCCAGTCCATTCAACAGGCCCAGCATGTTCTCATTGGGTTACAAATAGTCCCAAATCCCATAACTGAATGCTAGACTCAGGAATTGGGGGCTGCAGACCTGAAACAGCTGGGCCGCCCAGGCTGGGCGAGGAGCCTCCCCGCAGGGCCGCCACCAGGCCTGTTTCCCCGTCTGTAGAAGGAGGGCATGAGTGGGTCTCCCAGGCCCGTCCTCTGAGCCTAGGGACTGGCCCAGGGTGGTGTTTGTTTACCAGCTCCCACATCCATGGCGGTTCCCCGGGGGACCCATTAGATCTCCTCTGGGGGATCCTGCGGCCGTGTTCGCTGCACCCCAGGCAACACCCTGCTCCCTCCGGCTCCAGCGTTCACCTGGGAGGTGAAGGCCAACAACCGGACCTACAACAGCCAACTCAAGGAGAAGGTCTTCCCGTGCTGGCAGAGGAAGAAGTACAAGGTAGGCGGCCCCAGCCCCACCGTCCTCTGCTACCTCCTCCCAACCAGCCCACTCTCCCGCACACACGGAATTTTAATCGCGAAGGAATCACCAGTTTGGTGCTGGAGTGCCCATTGTTTCCTTAGCCCTACCCCAGTTCACCTTAAAATGTGAAAGTACTGCCCAGCCGGCGTGGCTCAGTGGTTGGATATCCAACTGTGAACCAGGAGGTCATGGTTCAGTTTCCGGGTCAGGGCACATGCCCTGGTTGTGGGCTTGGCCTCCAGTAGGGGGCGTGCAGGAGGCAGCCAATCAATGATTCTTTATCATCATTGATGTTTCTATCTCCCTCTCACTTCCTTTCTGAAATCAATAAAAACATATTAAAAAAGAAAATACTAAATCTTCAAATTACAATGTGTCCATCAGACTCTGCCTAAAACCCCCCTGGGTGTGTCTCGCTTTGAGAAATACCGGGGTCACAGTCCTACTTGAGGTGTCTTTGCATTCAGTAGGGGCTCAATCACTGCTGGCTCAAGGCTGCGTTCTATTGGCACTCAGTAATGCTGGTCTGAAGGCTCTGCATTCAGCAGGTGCTCAGTAGAGCTGGCTCATGGTAGATAGATAGTACTGGCTCGAGGCTTTACATGCACCGGGTACTTAATCATTGCTGATTGTGGTCAAAGGGCAGGGTGAGGCTAAGGTGGGGCCCTGGCCTGGGCAGCACCTCCATGCTGGCTCTCATTCCAGGGCAACATCATCCACACAGCCAAGTACAACTTCTTCTCCTTCCTGCCCTTGAACCTGTACGAGCAGTTCCACCGAATGTCCAACCTCTACTTCCTTTTTATCATCATTCTCCAGGTGGGGCGGGACAGGGGTGGCTCCAGGGGTCAGTACAAGCACCTGAGCACAGACCATTCCTTCCATCTGCTCACCCTGCCTCCTCCAGGAAGCCCTCCTTGACCAGCTTTGCCACATGGCTCTGTAGACACATGGAGGTTCGAGTGTGTGTTTATGTGGTTGGGAGGAGGGGCCGGTGTCTGGCTGCTCACACACTGGGAGCACCCTCATGGCTGAGTCTCCACTGCTCAGTCCAGGGCCTGGTTCACAGAAGATGCTCTCGATAGATGTCCAATGATGAAGGTGCATGAGTGGCTCCTCTGGGCCCAAGGCGGGCACAGCCCCTCCCCAGGATGCACAGCCTTGGCCACGTGACCCTCTGGGGCTCGGCCCACTGAGCTGACCCCAAAGGGTGAGGAGGAAAGAAGGTTGAGAGCAGGTTCCCAGCACCTGGGTGGCCCTGCCAGATGGGCAGATGTCCTACCTGGGCAGCTCCCTCTCTCGGTGAGTGGGCAGCTCACAGAGCGCCCCGACCCCCCTCAATACCTCATCGTGCTGACCCCCTCTGCTTTGATCCATCGACACAATAAACACACTGTGGGCGGGGCCTATGCTAGACACTGAGGACCTGCCGGTGGCCCTGACACCCACTGCCATTGAACCACATGGAGGGGACCAGTGATGGAAAGGGGACCACACCCCAACCCACGCTGGCCTGGGGTTCGCTTGGCGCTCAGGCCTGAAGGGTGACTGGGAGGAGCCGGGTTACAGGGAGTAAAGCCGAGACTCTGAAGAGGGAGCAAACTGGGGGCTGGCAGGGCTTCCTGGAGGATGTGACTGGGAGCTGGGCATGGAGAGGAGCTTGTGGGGAGAATGGGAAGCAGAGGGGCAGTTGTCCCCAGAGTTGTAGGGGGAGGTGGCTGGCCTGGAGCCCCGGGGGTCGGCAGGTGGGACACAGGATGCCAGGTTGAGGGGCCGGCTGGGAGGTCAGGGGACGCGGTTTGGGGCAGTGTTCGGGATGGTGGTTCGGTATTGCCTTCCCGGCATGACCCAACCTCTGTGCCAGGGCATCCCCGAGATCTCCACCCTGCCCTGGTTCACCCTCTTCGCCCCGTTCACCTGCCTCCTCATCATCCGGGCCACCCGAGACCTGGCAGATGACATCGTAAGTGGGGCCCAGGGACAGTTGGGAAAGGGTTGGGGGCCGGGTGGGGTCCTTGTCTTGCTGCCACAGGGACAGGTGTCCCATAGCTCTATGGCCCTTGTTGCCACACTGGGTGATAGGGGGACCGTGCCTTCCTTCTCTTCGTAGCAGTGCCCCAGCAGCCCCCCTTCCTCCATCAGGGTCCCTGGCAGATGTGGCTGGTGTGGGGGTAGCATAGGGGCGTGGCTGGGGGTGGGATCATCCTGGGCGGGGGCAGGGCGGGGGCGGGGGCAGGGGAGGGGCCACCCTTCTGACCCACCTCTGTGGACTCAGGGCCGACACAGGAGTGACAGGACCATCAACAACAGGCCCTGCCAGATGCTGGTGGGGAGCAGGTGAGGCCGCTGGCGCTGTGGGGGGTGCACCCTGAGGACGGGGACTCCCTCACAGCTGGTGGCGGGGGCGGGGGGGGGGGCGTGGAGGACATATCAGGGAGGGGTGCCCAGCAGAGTGCCCAGAAACGTCCATGCCCCGGGACACCCTGGTGGAGTCTGATGTCTGACAGGGACCCAACCTGCTGTCTAGCAGGCTAAGGGCTGGGCCCTGTGATGGGGAAAGAGGCTGGGACCTGAGCGCGAACCTTGCAGGGCTGAGAGTTCAGCTGCAGGTCTGAAGGAACTTGGATGCTGAAGGGGGTGGAGGAGGCAAGGTTAGGGAAGGTTGGACTTCCCCTGGGCTCAGAGTCCCCCACAAAGACCTGCGGTGGGCAGGCAGGGAAGCAAAGCTCAGAGGGCAGTCCCTGCTCCCCCTGTTCTTCCAGTTTGGGGGTGGGGGGTGGGGGGTTAAGGGTTCCAAAGACAAGCCTGGCTGGGCCCCTCTCACACCTGCTGCCCACCCCCTGCAGCTTTCTGTGGAGAAAATGGAAGGACCTGTGTGTGGGGGACCTGGTCTGTCTGCACAAGGACAACATTGTCCCGGTGAGCTGGGTCCGCCTGGCTCAGACTCCCCACTCCTGGGGGAGGGCGGCCTCCCTGCTTGTGTTTCTCCTGTGCACGCCCCTCCCCCAGTGCTGTCTTCTCCCTCCCCTCTCCCCCTCCCACTCCAGGCCGACGTGCTCTTGCTGGCCAGCACGGAGCCCAGCAGTTTGTGCTACGTGGAGACAGCAGACATCGACGGGTGAGGCACAGCTCATCACTAGCGGATTGGGGGCCTGGGAGCCAGTGAGGCCTTCCCCAGTGGCCACAAAGGGTGGGTCCCCAAGCCCACGGGGATATTGTGGTCATTCATCCTGGGAGCATTTGTGGGGGACCTGCAAGCGGCAGGGGGCAAGAACATTCAGTCAGAGAAAGGGACCCACCTTCTCTGCACCAACATTTCTGGAGGCCCTGCTGTGCTCCAGGTGCGGCCGTCCGAAACCGAGAAGCCTGCGCCATTCCACAAACGTCCTGCGTCAATGTGGGCAAGGCCCCTCCGCCTCCTCGTTGGCATCTGAGCCGCAGTAGGGGCTCCGTGGAAATGTCTGAGTGACTCTGGAAGGGGCTGGGGTGCCTTGCCTGGGCGCTGCCTGTCCCCACCTCTCACCTCACTCCTCTGCTCATCACCAGGGAGACCAACTTGAAGTTCAGGCAGGCCCCGATGGGCACGCACCAGGCGCTGACCAGCGAAAGAATGATGGCTTCCTTCCAAGGTGAGAGGTGGCGAGTTCATCCACCCATCTGGGCCTTCGTCTGCCCTCTGTACAGCAGGCATGGAACGTCCCCATTTCACTGGGTTTGGGGGACGGTGATGGGGGTCTACTGGAGGGGGGGTGTCGGGGGTCGAAATAGTTTTGGTGTTTTTTTTTGTTAATCCTCACCTGAAGATATTTTTTCCATTGATTTTTAGAGATAATGGAAAGGAGGGAGGGAGGGGGAGAGGGAGAGAGAGAAACATTGATGTGAGAGAGACACATCGATGGGTTTTCTCCCGCACACACCTGGACTGGGCCGGGGATCCAACCTGCAACCCTTCCATGTGCAGGCCCACACTCTAACCACTGAGCACACCAGCCAGGGCAAGATAGATTTTAATAGGCCAGCTTATCCCAGGCCTGTTTCATGTCCTTTACACCCATGTAACAGTCGGAGCGTTTTCTGTTACTGTTAGAAAACATGCTGCACCATTGTGTCAGGCGTTACATGTTATTTTTAAAACGTGATCACATTAAAGCAAATATTTTTGGTTGTTTAATCAAAAAGGCAGCCTCTGTGCACAGAGACAGGGAACCGGCCCATCCATCGCAACTTCTTATTTCCCACCAGAAAAGTGAGACATTTCATAGCTGTGGGCAGAACCACTGTTTGCCAGAGCCCAGCCAGGGGCTACGGTATTTTTTTTCCTGTCTTGGTGCAAAGACAAGTTAATCAAATCGGGTCTAGAGCAGAATCGTCCTCTCAAACACAGCCCTTTTGCTCTGGATATTCAAGCGTTGGTTGCATTTGTTTTCACGGCATCTGAGGAAAGGCCTCGCTTACATGGAGGCCAGCCACTGTGTGCCGGGTGCTGGGCTAGGCCCAGGGTCCCCAGCATGAAGGAGATGCGGCTGGCACCTCCTCTCACAGAACTCACAGGGGTTCAGGACACCACTGCAGGATTGTAACCAGGAGGAAGGGGACTCAGGGGGCGCAGGGGGGCGGGGGCCTGATCTGGCTGGAGGATCAGAGAGGGTTTCCCTGAGGAGGTGTGCGTCCTGGCACAGGGAAGAGGATGCACAAAACCCCCGAGGCTTAACAGCCAGCTTTGGAGCATCCAGGGGGAAGCTGCGTGGCAAGCGGGTGGAGGTGCCAGTGGGGCAAGTTTGGGGCAGTGCAGGGCCCTTGGGCGTTGCTAGAGCCAGAGGTGACAGAATGTTCCCCACGCCTGCCCCACCTGCTTTGGAGAGGGGTGGCCTGACCCCAGCCATGCCCTTGGCTCCCTGATGGCCCTGTCGCCCGTAGGCACGGTGGTGTGTGAGGAACCCAACGGTCAGATGCACCGCTTTCTGGGGTGCCTGCAGTGGGAGGGCAAGAAATATTCCCTGGACAGCGGCAATATCCTCTTACGTGGCTGCAAGATCCGGAACACGGACACCTGCTATGGACTGGTCATCTATGCCGGTACCGCCGCGCTGGGCCCTGCAGCATGAGCTGTCCTGGTGGGGGCGGGGGGGGGGACCCTGAAACTGTTGGCAGGAAGTCACAAGGCCAGGCCTGGCTGCTGTGTGTCTGCTGCCATAGGTGTGGGGCTCCCGACATGGTTCCTATGGGGCCTGGGTTCTAAAACTGTGGAAATGTGCATATTGAGACAACACCCTTGTTACTTGGCTGGAGAATGTGGGGTGCTTGTATGAAGATGGCTGGGTGGCTGGGCAGGTGAATGGATGAGTAGGGGGTGACAGAGGGATGGAGGATGGATGGATGGATGGATGGAAGAGTGAATAGATGGACGGATGGATAGATGTATGTGTATATGTATGAATGAATGGATGTATGGATGGACAGACAGATGGATGCAACCCCTGCAGGTTTAGACACGAAGATCATGAGGAACTGTGGCAAAATCCATCTGAAGAGAACCAAGATAGACCGTCTGATGAACAGGCTAGTGATCCTGGTGAGCTGCCTGAGCCCCAGCCTGGGGGTTGGGAGGACACAGAAGAGGGAAGGGAAAGGTCCCCATAGACAGAAGCCCTGGCTGTCATCTTTCAGGCCTCAGTTTCCCGCCTCTACAAAATGTGCAGCCTGACCCTACAGACAGGTCTGTGGGCCAAAGACTCTTCTTAGAATCATGACACGTAAGAAATGTCTTTATAAAATAAATGTTGATCTTGACATTTTTTCCAAATCCACAGGAGATTATAAAATGCTCAGCTACCCTCCATGGACATTCATTTAATAATTCTTAACTCTTTGCCTAATCAACTTTATCTGTATTTTTTATTTAAAAAAGAATATTTTTATTAATTTCAGAGAGGGAGAGAGAGATGGAAACATCAATGATGAGAGGGAATCATGGATCGGCTGCCTCCTGCACGCCCCCTATTGGGGATTGAGCCTGCAACCCGGGCATGTGCCCTGACCAGGAATCGAACCATGACCTCCTGGTTCATAGGTCAATGCTCAACTACTGAGGGCTTCCATTGCTTTTTAGAGTGAGTGGAAGGGAGGGAGGGAGTGTGGAAGGGAGGGAGAGAGAGATCATGTGAGAGCTGCACATTGACTGGTTGCCTCCAACAAGTGCCCCACAGCCTGACCACAGTGGGGATTGAACCTGCAACCCAGGAATGTGCTCTTGACCGGGAATCAAACCCGAGACTCTGCAGTGCCCGGGCCAACCCTCTAACCACTGAGCCATGCCAGCCAGGGCTCAACTTTATCTTTTTAAAAGTTGTCGTAATATAATTTTTAAAATAGCAGCCACAAAACCCAGCAGAACCCCTGCAAGTTCCCCTCCCCCTGGGACTGCCAGCCACCTCCCCTCAGCCCCACTCCCCCATCCTGATGGCAGAACTTGGGGTGGGGGGAGCTTCTCATTTCCTGTTTGTCTTTTACACTGGCTGTGTCCCTGTTGGCTCGTTGCTGGGGTGTCTCGGTGCTGCCCTGGGCCCCTCCACATGCTCCACCATCTCCTGTTTGCTGAGCAGATCTTCATGTCCCTGGTGCTGATCTCCGTGGCTTTGACCTTGGGCTTCTGGGACAAGGTGAAAGAACTCAAGGCCAAGCACCACTACGTGTCTGAGAAGCTCATGTACAGCGTGCCCACCGAGTCTTTCTTCACCTTCTGGGGTTTCCTCATTCTGCTCAGCGTCATGGTGCCCATGGCTATGTTCGTCCTGTGAGTCCCTGGGGCTCCCCCCACCCACTCCTCAGCCAGAGAGAAGGGGGGCTGGGGTGGGCCATGGGCCGGGCCTGACCCAGCGTGTGTTTGCAGAACCGAGTTCATCTACCTGGGGAACAGCATCTTCATCAGCTGGGACAGGCAGATGTACTACCAGCCCCAGGACCTGCCGGCCAGAGCCCGAAACACCAGCCTCAGTGACCAGTTGGGCCAGGTGGCGTACATCTTCTCGGACAAGACCGGCACGCTCACGCAGAACACCATGACCTTCAGGAAGTGCTGCATCAACGGCCTTGTCTACGGTGGGGCCTTCCCTGACCCGTCCCCCCCCCCCCCCGGCGCCGCCCAGCACGCCTGACCCTGGGGTGCAGGAGGGCCCTGGGGCGCTGCAATCACCAGGAGACCCGAGTGGGTCTCAGGGTCAGCTGGCCTGCCCCCCTGGGCCCCACCCCCAGCAGGCCGATGGGGATCTGAAGCTCAGAGCTGCAGCCAAAGGCCTCCTCTCCGGGGGTCAGCAAGCTATTCCTGTAACAGGCCGGCAAGTCAATGTGCACATATACTTAATCCTCACCTGAAGAAATTCTCCCCATTGCTTTTAGAGAGAGTGGAAGGGGAGGGGATGGGAGAGAGAGAGAGAGAGAGAGAGGGAGAGAGAGAGAGAGAGAGAGAAACATGGAGGTGAGAGAGAAACATTGACTGGTTGTCTCCTGCATGCACCCCGACTGGGCTGGGATCGAACCTGCAACCCAGTTATGGGCCCTTGGCCAGGAATCGGACCCAGGACCCTTCAGTGCTCGGGCCGACGCTCTAACCACCGAGCACACCAGTCAGGGTCAGCAAGTCAATATTTTTAGCTTCCCCTGCGGCACCGTCTCTGTGGAGACTCAGCTCAGCCCTGGTCCCTGGAAAGCAGCCTCTGCTGTGTGTGGACGCTGAGCTTCGAATTCCAGAGCGGTTGACATGTCACGGAAAAGTATTATTTTGGTTTTCACAAACCTCTGACGTTTGAAATCCATAGCATCTTCACACGTCACAAAATAGTTTCTGCTTCTGATTGTCACAGACTGTACCGAAGACACCAATTTTGAATTTCATAGCATTTTCAAGTTTCTCGAGACAATATTCTTCTTTCAATTTCCCTCCAACCAGTTAGAAATGTGAAAACTCTTTTTAGCTTGCAGGCCACAGAAAAGCTGGTAATGGTGCAGGGCGAAGCTCGCCAGCCCCTGGTCTAGTTTTTAGCTCCGTTTAGAGCAGGAGCTGGCAGAGGACCCAGCTGGGTAATTATTTGGGGCAGCAGGCAGTCATCAGCATGAGAAATGAACATTCCACCTGACCCTGAGCCGGCCAGGGAGGTGGGTGATAGGGAGCGGGGGGGGGGGGGGGGGGGGCCCCGGGGTGTGTCTGTGGTAAGAGGCTGGTTTCTCTCATGCTGCTCTCTCTGTTTTTCGTCTCTCTCTCATGTTTCTATAAGCACTCTGGGGCCAGACTTTTATTTGAAATCATCCACTTTTTCAAAGTAGCAGCCAAGTTTTATCAGCCACCGTGAATAGTTCGAACAAGATGTGTTCCATGGGGCCGCATCCCTGTCCGGACAGTCTTTCTAAGGCCCCCCAAGAGCCCTGGCCATTTGTTTGCTCAGTGGTTAGAGCACCAGCCTTTGGACCGCAGGGTGGCAGGTTGGATTCCGGTCAAGGGCACATACCTCGCTTGCAGGTTAACCAGCCCCCATAGGGGCGCATTTGGGAGGCAACCAATTGATGCGTCTCTCTCACATCGATGTTTCTCTCTCTCTATGTCTCCCCCTCCCTTCCACTCGTTCTAAAAATAAATGGAAAAAATATCCTTGGGTGAGGATTAACAACAAGAACAAGATTCCCCCAGGAGATGGGGCCCCGTCTGTCCCTCCTTGTGCAGAAGGCAAAGCTGCAGCTGGGGGTCCGTTGTTGTTTAGGGTTCAGACCCTAGGAAGACTGGCATTGGGGGCGGGGACTGTGGGACCCTAAGCTGTCTGGGGTGCTGAGGCCTGAAGCAGGGTCTTTTCTCAGGCCCAGACGAGGAGGAGACCCCACCTAAGGTGAGTGCCGGCCCTGCAGCCCTGGATGGTGGTGGGGAGTCGGGGTTGGGGGGTCGGGCACTGACCTACCCAGAACCGGCTTGTCCCCCCCTAGGAGAACCCCTACCTCTGGAGCAAATCTGCGGATGGGAAGCTGCTCTTCCAAAATGCGAGGCTCCTGAGTGCGGTGCGTGGCAACCAGGATGCAATGGTGCGGGAGTTCTGGCGCCTGCTGGCCCTCTGCCACACGGTGATGGTGCAGGAGGAAGACAGTGAGTGGGCTGGGGCTGCCCAGCCTGCGGGGGTGCTCAGGCCCTGGGGCCCCTGTGGTTTCTTCTGGTCTGAGAGGTTGTCCAGCCCACCCCCAGGGCTCCTGTCATCCAGCCTAGAGGGTTCTCAGGCCCTTGTCCCAGGCTCCACCTCTTCTGCACCCAGCGGGTGTCCAAGCCTGGGGCTCGAGATCTGCTCCTGAACTGGGAGAGGAAAGTCATCTGGCCTGGGGCCCAAGTGTCCGCCTTCTTCTTTTTTTGTTTTGTTTTTTTAATATTTTATTGATTTTTTACAGAGAGGAAGGGAGAGGGATAGAGAGTTAGAAACATCGATGAGAGAGAAACATCCATCAGCTGCCTCCTGCACACTCCCTACTGGGGATGTGCCCGCAACCAAGGTAAATGCCCTTGACCGGAATCGAACCTGGGACCCTTGAGTCCTCAGGCTGACGCTCTATCCACTGAGCCAAACCGGTTAGGGCCCGCCTTCTTTTATTTGGCTTAGAGGTTGTACCGGCCCATTGTCTTGTCACTCTCTGGTGAGCACCCACTGGGCCCACTCTGTCCCGGGGCTACAGAGAGGGAAGGGGAACCTGCCGCAGACAGGTGGTGGGTCCCCAGAAGACAACAGGCTCTCAGTGAACGTGGTCCCCAGCCCACTCCCATGGTCCCCTCCCCCACCAGACCAGCTGTCGTACCAGGCGGCTTCCCCTGATGAGGAGGCCCTGGTCACGGCCGCCCGGAATTTCGGCTACGTGTTCGCGGCGCGCACGCAGGACAGCATCACGGTGACGGAGCTCGGGGAGGAGCGGGTGTACCAGGTCCTGGCCATGATGGACTTCAACAGCGTCCGGAAGCGCATGTCTGTGCTGGGTGAGCGCCCTCGGCCCGGGATGGGGGGAGGAGGGGGAGGGGATGCTCATGGACAGTCGAGCCTCTCCCTCCACAGTCCGGAACCCTGAGGGCTCCATCTACCTCTACACCAAGGGCGCAGACACCGTCATCTTTGATCGCTTGTATAAGAAGGGCTTGACAGAGGGGGCCACGGAAGAGGCCTTAACGGTGAGTCGCTGTGGGAAGGGAGGGAGGGGGAGGGGTAGAGGGAGGGAAGCAGAGGAGGGGGGTGTGCAGAGAAACTGCCTCAGGCATCCAGGTGCTCGTGTCCACATGGGCAGGGAGAAGCTGAACTGCAAGCTGCACCTGCACAGAGGGGCATCTTTGGAAGGCATAGGAGGATCCTCTCTGGTTAGGCTTTGGCCCTGGATACTGACGCCCGTCCCCAGCCAGGCCTGGGTTCCGGGACACAGGCAGCCTTCCTGCCCCAAATATTTTGTCTCTGTGGATGAAGCCCAGACTCAGCCACGCTTTCGAAGCTGTGTCTGTGTTCCCTGCTGACCGCTCTGGGCTGGCTCTTCCTCCCCCCAGGGTGTTCCCCAGGATGCTAGTCTCTGGCTTGCAGTTTTCCTCCTGCTCAGGTGATGCCCCGGGACCTTTGCACACACTGTTCCCTCTGCTTGGACGCCTTCCTCTGCTCTGTCACTGAGAAACTTTTGGTCCTCGGGGCTCTGCCACCTCCAGGTCCCCACCTCCAGGGAGACTTTCCTACCTGACTCTAACATGGGGCTGTCAGGTCATGCCAGGTGACCCCTCTCTGGCCCAGCCCTGACCTTCTGGGGTTCCCTAAGGGCTTTGCTGGGTCCCCAGCATCGGGCCCAGGGGGGTGTTTATGCAAAGAATGCCCCGAGCTCCTCACTCAGGACTTCCCAGAGTGCCCTGCTCTGCAAGGATGGGGAGTCCGGGGCAGGTGGCTGGTCTCTGACTCAGAACTGAGGTAGCACAGTCAGAACAATGACCCAGAGCCCAGGAGCCCGGCACGATGGCTTGGTTCAACTGCCCCATGGAACGGAGAGGTAAACCGAGGCCCGAGAGGAGCAAAGGCTTGTGTGGAGCTTCCGATGGCCAGGGAGCCGCTGTCATAGCCAAGCCCAACCTCTGAGGCCCACCTCCAGTCAAGAACAAAAGCAATGCCCTAACCCTGTGGTCGGCAAACCGCGGCTCGCGAGCCACATGCGGCTCTTTGGCCCCTTGAGTGTGGCTCTTCCACAAAATACCACGTGCGGGCGTGCATGTGCAGTGCGATTGAAACTTCGTGGCCCATGTGCAGAAGTCGGTATTTTGTGGAAGAGCCACACTCAAGGGGCCAAAGAGCCGCATGTGGCTTGTGCGCCGCAGTTTGCCGACCACTGCCCTAACCGGTTTGGCTCAGTGGATGGAGCATTGGCCTGCAGACTGAAGGGTCCCAGGTTCGATTCCAGTCAAGGGCATGTACCTTGGTTGTGGGCACATCCCCAGTGGGGGTGTGCAGGAGGCAGCTGAATAGATGTTTCTCTCTCATCGATGTTTCTAACTCTCTATCCCTCTCCCTCTCCATTCCTCTCTGTAAAAAATCAATAAAATATATTTTTTAAAAAAAATAACAAAAGCAAGACCTGGGGCCACCCACTGGGCAGAAAGCCTGGGGGATGGGGAAGTAGGGAAGTAAGGGGCCCACAGACACCTTTCTTGCGGCCACCCAGTCCCCAGGGCACCCCCAGATCTCTGGGTCCTCTGGTGGGAGCTGAGGGGGGGGCTGGAGGCCCACAGGATTCTTTCTGTTCCCTCTCCACCCCCAGAGCCCCTTGAGAAATGAGGCAGAGTGCGGAGCACAGACATTCCGAAGGCAGGGGTCAACGGCCAAGGGCTGTGGGAGCCCTGGCCGGGGAGGGGTCTGGCAGGCCTGCACTGAGGGTCTTCAGGGAAAGTTAGAAATGGCCACACAGAGTATAGGGAGCTCTGGAGACAGAATGGAACTGGGCCTCTTGGGGGCCTGAACAGCAGCTAGGGAGCATGGCAGCACGTGGTCCCGGCCCCCTCTGGGGAGGAGAGACTGTGGGGGGGTCAAGGTTCAGGGAGCCCAGGCAAAGAGGGAGGAGCTGACTGGAGAAGTGCCGGGGAGGCAGGTGGTGACGGGGCGGCGCCTGCTGCCCGGCGGCCCCCAGTCCTTTGCCCAGCAGGCCCTGCGCACGCTGTGCCTGGCCTACAAACAGGTAGATGAGGACACCTACCAGGAGTGGTGCCAGCGGCACCAGGAAGCCAGCATCCTTCTTCAGAACCGGGCCCAGGCCCTGCACCAAGTGTACGAGGAGATGGAGCAGAACCTCCAGGTGGGCGTGGCACAGGAGGTGAGGGGGCTCCACATCCTGGTTCCAGCCCCGGGTCCCCAGATCTCCCTCCCCCGCCTGGATAGCTGAGTCCCTGCTCAGTCTGTTCCCTGTGCCCCCACCTCCACCCCCAGCTGCTGGGAGCCACAGCCATTGAAGACAGGCTCCAGGACGGCATCCTTGAAACCATCCAGTGTCTCAAGCAAGGAAACATCAAAGTGTGGGTGCTCACAGGAGACAAGCAAGGTAGGTCCCAGGGCAGCCGCCCTAGCAGGGAGAGAAGGGAGATGGGTGGGAGGCAACTCATGTGTGTCCCAAGCGTCACCATCAGCCTGTTCCAGTTGTAGGGGTTCAGCCCTGCCGCCCACCTTGTCCTGGGAAAGGGAGAAATAGGGTGACCAGAACTGGTGGGGTCCCCCAGGCACCTCCCTCAGATGGGTGGCACTGCGCCAAGAACTTCCGGAGTATTTGGCTCTCATGGCAACACCATGAGTTGGAAACTGGTTACCCATGCATGGGAGATGGGCACAGTGAGTTCAGCGACCTCAGGGCACTTGCTGGAGGCTGCCCAGCCACTTAGAAACAAAGCTGGCATTCACTCCTGTGGCGGGAGGCACATACACACACAAAAGATTTAAAATGACAGTTTACAGCTATGCTGGAATAAAGACAAATGTCCAGGTTGGAATACATTCACTTTTTCTTCTTCTTCTGATTTTAAAGAAACTAAGTCATTTTTGTGGGTTCCTAGAAGTGCCTGTGGGCTCTAGGCATGATATATCTAATAATGATCCTTGGCCCAGGCTCACTTCCCTCTAGTAGCCCAGCCCCAGCCAGCCAGAGTGCAGGCCCCTTTGATCAGAGCTGCAGCCAAAGTCTCAGGGTTGGCTCGCACTGGCCGGGCTGGGTCACATACCCTGCTCTGAACCAATCACCATTGCCAGGGGGTGGGGCAGGGTGGGCATGGCCCTGGGCAGGGGGCTGCCAGGGGCTGAGCTAGGCTGGTTTTCAGAGACTGCGGTGAATATCAGCTTTGCCTGCCAGCTGCTGTCCGAGGACATGCTCATTCTGGAGGAGAAGGAGATCGTGTAAGGAGTGGGAGTGGGGGAGGATGAGCTGGTGGGAGCAGGGTGAGGGCGGGGGATCGGGGACATCCATGTCAGATGTGGCCCTGGGGGTCTGCAGAACGTCCTCAGCCTCCACCTGGCTGGATTCCCAGAGGGGGAAACTGAGGCACATCGGGGGAGGGGAAGGAAGGAAGCTTGTGCCCGGACGTGGCTGAGCCCCAGTGGGTCTCTGCAGTCAGATCCTGGAGGCCTACTGGGAGAGCAACAACAACCTGCTGAGTGGCCAGGGGTCTCTGGAGAACCGGTTCCCGCCACAGGTCAAAACGGCCATGGTCATTAACGGAGAGTTCCTGGTCAGTGTCGGCTCAGGGCTAACCGAGGGGCCTCTGGCACGTGGGAGGGGGCTGGGAGGAGACAGACTCGGGGTGGGGGTGGACTATTGGGAAAGCCCAAGTGAATGCTACACCCAGAGATGATTCTCAGAGGGACTGGAGCCATGAGGTCAAGGCCAGCCTGGGGTTGGGGCAGGGGGCAGGAGGGGTGTTCACGAAGGGAAGGGGTGCAGGCAGAGCGATGCGCCCTCCCCCCCACCTCCCTGCTGGCCAGGACCAGCTGCTGCCGCCCCTGAGCAAGGAGTCCCAGGTGCTCGTCGGAAATGTGCACGTGGACGGGCAGGAGCCCGGTGAGCGGAGGACAGACGTCCGGCAGGCCAGGCGCACCTCTCTCGTGTGGCAGACCCTGGGGGGCCAGCTGAGGCGCCCGGGGTTGGTGCCAAAGAACAAGCACTCCAACACCCGCGAGAGCCCCGAGGCGCGGCGGGAGCGGGCCTTCGTGGAACTGGCCTCGCGATGCCAAGCCGTCATCTGCTGCCGGGTGACTCCCAGGCAGAAGGCCTTGATGGTGGCGCTGGTCAAGAAGTACCAGAACGTGGTGACCCTGGCCATCGGGGATGGTGCCAACGATGTCAACATGATCAAGAGTGGGTGGTGGGCACCCGGCCCCGGGGGAGGCCTGTGGCGGGCTGGGAGGGGCTGGGGTGGGCCAGGGCCCACAGGCCGCGTGTGTCCCGGCAGCTGCGGACATCGGCGTAGGGCTGGCGGGCCAGGAGGGCATGCAGGTGGTGCAGAACAGCGACTACATGCTGGCCCAGTTCCACTTCCTGAGGCGGCTGCTGCTGGTGCATGGGCACTGGTCCTACGTGCGAGTGTGCAAGTTCCTGCGCTACTTCATCTACAAGACGCTGGCCAGCATGATGGTCCAGATCTGGTTCGCTTTCTACAGCGGCTTCTCTGCCCAGGTGCGCTGGAGGCAACAGCCCTTTGGGGATTCTCTGGGACGCTGGGCCCTTCTCCTGGCTTCCAGGAGGGCGACAGGCTCACACACACTGTCCAGGGTCCTCTGGGGTCCTCTGGGGTCCTCTGGGGCAGGGCTGGCCTGAGGTCGCAGGGCAATGCGACCTTCTCCCTGGCTGCATTCGTGCAAGTATAGCGTCCAGATAGAGGGAGGGATCTTCCTGCCCAGCTGAGTGCCCAGCAGTCCCAGGGACATTTGACAGATCTGAGCTGGGAAGCCAGGCAGGGCAGCTACTCCAAAGGTAGATCTTTCTAGGGGAGACAGGATACGCTTGAGCCCCAGAGAAGAGAAGACTGTGGGAGCTGGGTCCCTGGCCTCAAGACTCTCAGCAGTAGCACGGTGAGGCGCGATGTGCCCGGAGCCTCGGAGGGGTCACAGAGAGATGATTTCCTGTGTGTAAGGACGTCGTCTGAAGACAGATGGCCCTGATCGGGAGTAGCTCCGTCACTGATACCAAGGCTTTGAGAGGGAGCTTTACAGAGGCACCTGGATAACTACATGCTGTTTGTTTTACTGTTTTGTCTCTAGATATTTTATTCTTTTAGCTGCTGCTGTACATGGAATTGCTTTCTTAATACCTTCTGGGGGTGGCTCATTGCTGGTGTGAGAAACACAGATGATTTTTGCGTGTTGATCTGTGCCCTGTGCATTTGCTGACTCCCTTTATTGGCTCCAGGAGATTTCTGGCGGATCCTTTGGGTTTTCTGCACGTCATCTGAAAATAGAGATCGTTTTCCTTCTTCCTCTCCGTGTGGACGCCTTTTATTTCCCTTCCTTACTACTTGCTCTGGCTGGAACGCCCAGTGAGATGGAGAGCGCTGGCAACCTTATCTTGTTCTTTAGTTTAGTGAGGACAGTGTTCCGTCTCCCTACATTTGTTAACTAGAATTCTTCTGTAGGAAGAACCAACCATTCCTTCTCCCTCATTTATTTATGAAATTATTTTTATTATTTTTATATATATATATTTTAAATATATTTTATTGATTTTTCACAGAGAGGAAGGGAGAGAGATAGAGAGTTAGAAACATAAATGAGAAAGGAACATCGATCAGCTGCCTCCTGCACACCTCCTACTGGGGATGTGCCCGCAACCAAGGTACATGCCCTTGGCCGGAATCGAACCTGGGACCTTTCAGTCCGCAGGCTGACGCTCTATCCATTGAGCCAAACCGGTTAGGGCTTTAGATATATTTTTATTGATTTCAGAGGGGAAGGGAGAGGGAGAGAGAGATAGAAACATCAATGATAACAGAGAATCATTGATCAGCTGCCTTCTGCAGGCCCCCAATTGGAATTGAGCCCACAACCCTTGACCAGAATCGAACCTGGGACCCTTCAGTCCACAGGCCGATGCTCTATCCACTGAGCCAAACCGGCTAGGGCTGAAATTATTCATTTTTATCCATACGGACCCATGGACATTTATTTGATTGTATGTTTTATTGCTCCATTTATCCCCGATGTGTCTTTTTGAGATGGCCTGCTTCTCTCTGAGCATGTCTTCACTTTCTGGCACTATAAGAGATTCCAGGCTCATTCTGTTTTTTCTTTGCCCCAACCCTGGAATCAGGCACTCCCATAAGGAGCCCTGGTCCTTTTCATTAGAGAATGGTAGCTTGTTCTTGGTGTCTCATTGCTGCTGGGGTTCTATTCCTCTCTCAGCAGACAGAGCTAGGAAAGGTACACATACTAACCCATGGATAGACGCACATCTCTATGTCTTTCTCTATTTCTATGTCTGTCTATTTTTAAAAAAATCCTCACCTGAGTATATTTTTCTATTGATTTTTAGAGAGTAGAAGAGAGAGGGAAAGACAGAGAAATATTGATGTGAGAGAAACACATCGATTGGTTGCCTCCTGCATGCGCCCTGACCAGGGCCCCAGGCTGGGAGGAACTTGCAACCGAGGCATGTGCCCTTGACCAGAATCTAACCTGGGATCCTTTGGTCTGCAGGCCGATGCTCCATTCACTGAGCCAAACCAGCTTGAGCTATGTCTGTCTATCTATCATCTATCCTGTGTGTATTAAAACACTATGAGTTGCCCTGACCAGTTTTGCTCAGTGGTTAGAGCATCAGCCTGTGGACTGAAGAGTCCCAGGTTCCATTCCGGTTAAGGGCATGTACCTTGGTTTCGGGCACATCCCCCCGGTGTGTGTGTGTGTGTGTGCAGGAGGCAGCTGATGGATGTTTCTCTCTCATTGATGTTTCTAACTCTCTATCCCTCTCCCTTCCTCTCTGTAAAAAATCAATAAAATATATTTTTAAAAAACCACTATGAGCTCCCACTGATGTCTCTGATTCCAGGCCCACAGAACAAGGCTCAGCTTAGCCTTTTCCAGGTACTCATTAATGACTCTTGTCCAGCCGTGAAAAACTTGAGTCTTGTAAAATGATTGATCATTACTTATTTGCTCACTCAAAGAATGCACATAAAATGGTTTTTGGAACGGAAACCCATATCCTTTAAAAAAAATTTTTTTTTATTGATTTCAGAGAGGTAGAGAGAGATAGAAACAGCAATGATGAGAGAATCATTGATCAGCTGCGTCCTGCACACCCCCTACTGGGGGTTGAACCCACAACCCAGGCATGTGCCCTTGACCAGAATAGAACCCAGGACCCTTCAGTCCACAGGCGAAGGTGCTATCCACTGAGCAAAACCAGCAAGGGCTGAAACCCATATCCTTTAACTGAACTAGATTCTTGCATTGGGAAAGGAGCTGGGCTCATTGTCTGTGGGGTCTCTTCCAAGTCTTTCACCATCCATCCATCCGTGACTCCATAAATCTAAAATGACCCAAAACCACATTCTTTAGCCACTTTCCCTCCTGTAGCTCTTTTGAAAGCCCTCCAATGACAACAAATACTCCAAAGTGCTGTTTTAAAAGAATTAGACCCGGCTTTTCCTCTTTGCCTTTTACCTTCCAGCATCACTTAACGGAGTGGTTCTCAACCTTGGCTGCACATTGGAATCACCTGGGGATCTTTTTAAAATCCTGATTTCTGGGCCTCATCCTATGGAAATTCTGTTTCTTTGTTACTAATGTTGTGGCCCCACCCCATAACAAAGAAACAGAATTTCCGGAGGATGAGGCCCAGAAATCAGGATTTTAAAAAGATCCCCAGGTGATTCTAATGTGCAGCCAAGGTTGAGAACCACTGACTTAACCCAACCCTTGATTGTAACGAATTTTCTCACTCACCTGGAACCCTCCACAGGTGCTGCGCTGCCTTTGGGGGGGGGGTCTCCTCAGGTGAAGAGCATATCTGCTTCTGGACATTTGGCACCTGAAGGCTGGCCACTGACCACCTTCTCCCCCCTCCCCCTCCCTAGCCTCTGTACGAAGGCTGGTTCCTGGTGCTTTTCAATCTGCTGTACACCAGCCTCCCAGTTCTGTACATTGGGCTCTTCGAGCAGGTGAGCAGGCTGAGGACGTGCCTCCCCCTTCCCTGTAGATACTCCTGTCTCTGCCACACCTTCTCCCCTGGGGAGTTGGGGTGGGATGTGGGCAGGGCTCCTAGCCCACGACCATGTACCCGTTCCCACCGGAGCTCAACCTGATGGTGGGTGAAGTCCTTTTGCCCAGCTACCCCCACCCTTTTGGGACACTCCCAAAGCTCAGTCCCACTGTTGGCCCATCTGTGCCACAGTGGGGAGGGGATCAGAGAAGATGGTTCTCCTCTTTGCCCTGCCCTCCTCCCGAGAGGGTCTGGCTAAGCGAACCAGAATAGGGTGGTCCAGTCGAATGCTTAGGATGATGGAAGTGTCTCGTGCCTGTGCTGTCCAGCTGGGAGCCACCAGCCACAGGTGGCTAATGATGGGCACTTGAGGCTGGCCTGGTGTGCCCTAAGGAATGAGACTTTCATTTCATTTTTTAAAAAATATATATTTTATTGATTTTTTACAGAGAGGAAGGGAGAGCGATAGAGAGTTAGAAACATTGATGAGAGAGAAACATCGATCAGCTGCCTCCTGCACACGCCCCACTGGGGATGTGCCCGAAACCAAGGTACATGCCCCTGACCGGAACCGAACCTGGGACCCTTTAGTCCACAGGCCGACGCTCTATCCACTGAGCCAAACCGGTCAGGGCTTTCATTTCATTTTTTTAAAAAGTTTAAAACTGTGGTAAAACACCAATAACGAAATTTGCCATCTCACTGTTCTCACGCACATGGTTCAGGCCTGCCGAGAGCAGCCCGGCGCGTGCTTGTTGCTGTGCAGCCAGCCTCTAGAATCACCTCTAGAATCCCTCCACCCCCGCCAGGATGTGAGTGCTGAGCGGAGCCTGGAGCTGCCCCAGCTGTACATTGCCGGCCAGAAGGACGAGCTCTTCAACTACTGGGTCTTCCTCCAAGCCATCGCCCATGGCGTGGCCACCTCCCTGGTCAACTTCTTCATGACCCTGTGCATCAGTCAGGACACGGCTGGGCCCCTCAGTGACTATCAGTCTTTCGCCGTGGTCGTGGCCCTGTCGGGCCTGCTGTCCATCACCATGGAGGTAGGCAGGGCTGCTGCCCACCCCACCCCTGGTGGGAACTTGGACACAGACCATGAAGGTCTCATTGCCTGGTGACCCTTCCTGAGAGGCCTTAGCAGGTGCCCCTTGAACCTGTGGGCTGGGCCCCCACCCTCCTCTACGTAGCCTTGCCTGGTGCTCCCGCCCCCATGGCTGAACCCTCCTCTCCCGCTTAGGTCGTCCTCATCATCAGGTACTGGACGGTCCTGGCTGCACTGGCCATCTTCCTCAGCATCTGCTTCTACACGGCGACGACCTGGGCAAGCCAGAGCTCCTGGCTCTTCACCGTCTCCCCCAAGACCTTCCCCTTTCTGTGTGAGCCCCACCCCACCCCCACCCGCAGCAGGGACTAGGGTGGCAGCCCTGGAAATGGGTGGGGCCTGTGTCTTTAGAGAATTTGCACAGAGGCATTCCGGGGGTGAAGGTGAGGAAGGAGGCGGGGGTCTGGAAGAGGGGGCACGGAGCAGGCTCGGGGCGGCTTCCCCCTGGGCCCGGCTGAGACTCTGCTCTGTCACCAGATGCTGACCGCCACGTGCTGTCCCACCCCTCCACCCTGCTGGTGGTCCTGCTGAATGTGTCACTAAACTCCCTGCTCAGACTGGCCTTGCCTGTCATTTACCAGGCCCTCCAGAAGCCACACTCCAAGGTGAGGGCGGCTGGGGTCCCCCCTGCACATTCCTGGGACCCATCAGCCAGAGCTGGTACTGGGAGCAGGGACTCCAAGGAGATACAGAGTTGGGGGTAGAGGGTTCGAGACCCAGATGCACACCCAGTGCTCTCAGGAGGGACAAATTATAGGCCCCAGGAACTCAGGAAGGAAACCATACTTCCTGGGATGGAGGCGGCCAGCCTGGTTCCGGCAGTGATGTGGTCAGACTTCCACCATGAATTGTCTAAGACTTGGGGGTTGAGATGACAGAAATGACCTGGAAAAGGTTTAGGCAAAAAGGGGAACTTAGAAACACCCCAAGTGTCCATCGATAGATGAATGGATAAACACAGTGTGGTTCATCCATCCACACAGTGGAATACTATTCCGCCTTGAAAATAAGGCACTGCTGACCCTGTTACAATGTAGACGAACCTGGAGGACACTATGCTCAGAGAGACAAGCCAGTCACAGAAGGACAGATACTGTGATTCCACTCATAGGCGGTCCCTAGAGCGTTAGCTTTATGGACAGAAAGTAGCTGGAGGGAGCCAGGGGCTGGGGATGCGTTTTTAATGGGGACAGAATGTCAGTTTGGGAAGATGAAGTTCTGGAGATGGAAGTGATAGTTGCATAACAATGTTAATGTGCTTCATGCCACTGAGACGTACACTTAAAAATGGCTAAAATGGTACATTTTATGTCTGTTTTACCACAAATGAAAAACTGTGTATGTGGGGGCCGGGGGAGGGGGGACTTACTGGCTCAGGTAACAAGAAACTAGAAGGACCAGTTGCAGCTGGGCTGGGCTGGAGGACTGACGGAAACAGGGGGCCAAGACCTGGCCACAAACCCGCTATGTTCTGCCACACAGGCTGCAGACATGCTGCCCCGCGGTTAACTTCCCCGGCTTTGCCACACCAGAGCACTTAAGGCACCTGGTAGCTGATCTGGAGTGCAGTCCCAGGGGAGGACTGTGATTGGCTGGTCCAAAGTTAGGTCCTAGGGAGAACTGCAGTTGGGTCCACTTGGGCAGGGAAGAGCCTGGCCAGTGAGTGGTGACCAAGGGTTATGAATGGCCCCCACTGGGAGCAGGTGACCCGAGAGCATCCAACAGAGTAGGGGAGCCTGAGGACCCTGCTTGCCCTGTGCTCTGCAGGAGGAAGAGACGGCAGAGGAGATCGCCGCGGAGCCTCTGCCCTACCTTTGCCGGCAGTCACGTGCCCGGCGCTCTAGCTATGCCTTCTCCCACCGGGAAGGCTACGCAGACCTCATCACGCAGGGCACAGGTTTGCGGAGGTCACCAGGGGTCAACAGCAACACTCCAGCCGGTCACACCATCCCATCGAGGAGTCGCCCTCGCACCAGAGGAAGATGCCATTCTTGGGGAGGAAGAGGCACCCACACTGTGGGAAGGTGTCCTCCCAGGACACGCAGCCCACCTCCCCGATGAGCTCCCCCTTTACTGGGGAGGAGCAGTGCTCTTTCTCCAAAAACGAGGCTCCCTCCACAGACGGGCCGTCTGGTTCTTTCCCCGGGAGACTGCCAGGGAAGCCGGCCAGGCCGTATTCTCCTGAGACTCTGCCACCAACCAAGGAGAGGCCGCCATCCCCCAGAGAAAGCCAGGTGCCACTTTCTAAGAGGCAGCCGTGGCCTCCAGCCCAGTCATTTAAAAATATATATATTTTTATTGATTTTGCAGAAAGGAAGGGAGAGGTATAGAGTCAGAGACATCAATGAGAGAGAAACATTGATCAGCTGCCTCCCACACGCCCCCCGACTGGGGATCGAGCTGCAACCAAGGTACATGCCCTTGACCGGAATCAAACCTGAGCCTCTTCAGTCCGCGGACCCACGCTCTATCCACTGAGCCAAACCAGCTAGGACCCGGCCAGTCATTTAAAAAAGGGAACCAGCCAGCATCCGTGGAGGAGGAGAGAGAATCATCCACAATTAAAGAACCTACAGAGGTGGCGCCCTGGGCCTCGAGAGGCAGCCGTCACCCATGGAGAGCCAGCCAGTGCCTCTGGGAGCCAAGTGCCACCTGTTCTGGGGGGGCAGCCACGCCTGCTTCGGGAGGACAGGAATTCCCGGCTCAGGAAACGTCAGCCGGCAAGCATGAGCCCCCCGCTCCCCCCCTCCCGCCTCCCGCCCCCCCACCCCCCCTCCCCACTATGACAAAGCCTTTTCTTTTTCTAATAAACCAGGGTCTGTCTGACCCCAGGGCTCCCGAGGTCACTCTTTTCCTGCTTCTTTCTGTGATGCAACCTGCAAGTCTTTCCTGGTTTTAAAAATCAAAACACTCACCCCTAGTGGCCAGATGGAGGATTTGCAGGAAAAGCTTGTTAATCTTCACCTGAGGATATTTTTTTCATTCATTTTTAGAAAGAGTGGAAGGAGTGGAGGGAGGGAGGGACAGAGGGAGGGAGAGAGAAACATCCTTGTGAGAGAGACACATCGATTGGTTGCCCCCTGCCCCTGGCCCGGGGGCTGGGCAGGGATTGAACCTGCCACCCGGGTACATGCCCTTGACCTGGAATAGACCTGTGACCGTCCAGTGTGCAGGCCAGCGGTCTAACCACTGAGCCTGCTAGCCAGGGCACTGAACCTTGCTTTATTTATGGGTTTACTTTCCCCTTTCACCCTGGGGTAGGTAATGTGGATAAAACTTTATTACTCTCAAAATGGAGAAATGTGCTGAGCAGATTCCGCTTACCAGTCCTGGCCCCTGGCTGCTACCTGCTGGCCCCTCCCAGGGCAGTTGATGAGGTTCAATCCTGGCACCAACCCAGCCCATTCCCTTGCCAGGCTGCCCTGCTTTCTTCCTTCGAATGGACCACCTTACAATTCAGGCTCCAGAAAGCCGTGGGCAGTGATGCCTCAGATGCGAGTCCCAACAGGATCTTTGTTGTCAGGCCTGGTTGGCTCAAAGGCCTTGAGTTTTTCTCTGGTTCTTTAAGGTTCCCGAGAAGGTGGCGCCCTGTGGGGCTGAGGGCTCAGGGGTGGCTGTGGCCATGGAGCAGGGCAGGGTTTGCCCCGAGAGGCCTGGGCTGGGGGGGGGTAGACTTCCTCCTCCCTGGGCCCCTCTGTTCCTCCCCATTTCATGGTGGGCGAGCCCCCTCCCTCCCCCTCCTGCACCCCACCACCTCCACACTGTCGGCCAACACACACGCCCAGGTGAGTGACTAGAAAATAATTTATTGGAGAAAAACAAAACAACAAATCCAGCACAGCAATGGTTAACAATGAAGATGATTCTTTTTTTTTCTTCTTTTTTTTTTTTTTTTTACTTTTAAGCCTGTCGCCTGAGGGTGGGGTGAAGAGGGCTCTGTCCCCTCTAGCATTGGGAGGGACTCTGGATGACCCCAGTAGTGTCTCCCCTGAAAACAGCCCTAGTGTCCAGTCTTGATTGAACACTCAGGGCTCTCCCTCACCCCTGGCTGAGGAAATTCACCCAAAGACCAACCCCTGGGATGGGGGCGGGGGGGGGGGTGGTGGTGGTGGTAAGGGGGGACGGTGGTGGTCTGCCAGGGCCACAAGGAGGAGCCCAAGATCTGATGGGCTTATACTGCTTTGGGCAGAGAACTGCTTTGGGTGACAGTGCCCTGGGGCATGTGCTCCCCCACCCCATTTTGGGGGGCTGACCCTCCAAACTGGCTTTTTGTCCTTCAGGGCACGAGGGACCCCCTTCCTGGGGCCTGTCTTAGAAGGTGGGCTATCCAGGTGGACGTGTGGGGCCTCGTGCCAGAAGTGGAGTTACAGGCATGGAGTCCTCTTGTATGACTTTGGGGTCCCCTCTGTTGTGTAGGGTCCCAGTGTAGGCTGGAAGGAGGAAATGCAACCCCCGACCTCCCAGGCCAGTCAGAGAGGTGTACTCAGCCCAGCCCAGAGCTGAGGACGCTGGGGGTGTCCGGGTGGAGCCTGGCCAGGTGCCTGTCCTGGGTCCCTGGGGGGTGTCTCAGGAGGGTTGTTAGGACCTCGGGAAGTTGGGGCACACCCCAGCCTCACACCGCCCTGGGCGACAAGACTCGAACTGATTGTCTCTCTCCTCTGAACAAGACACTTGGGAACTCATGCGAACGTGAAACCAACGGGGTCCAGGATGACAGCGACAGCCACCCGCGCCCAAGCGCCTGGAGCGGGAGACTCCGCAGCACAGGCGGGCGGCACGTGGGTGCCAGGAGGTGGGAGCCGGTCTGGGTGCTGAAGCCCTGCTGTCTGCCTTCCTCTTTCCTCCCCACCTCCCGCCAGCTGGGAAGGGGGGAGTCAACAGAGAGCAGGGCACAGGGGCCCCGACGGCGACTCGGCACAAAACACACGGATGCACATGGCCTGTGGGCTCCGGCCCGCGCCCGTCCCCACCCCCCGCCCATCCACTAGTACATTATCAAGAAAGAGTACATTAGTCATGCATCAAATCAAGTTCCATTTGTCTTTTTTTCCATTTTCTTCCTTTTTTTTTCTTAAATTACATTTGAACACAGACCACATAGAATAATAAATACTCTTATAAGACATGACTCCAAAAACAAGAAGCAGAACACACCAGAGAACACAAAAGTATCCCTCTCTCTCTCTCTCTCTCTTCCTCTTTCCTAAAGGACTCGTTTAAATAAGAAATCTGTAAACGCCTGGTCCTTCGGTCCTTCGAGCTCAGGCTCTCGCTCTCGCTCCCTCTGTCTTTCTCTTCTGACCACCCAGCTTTCGCTGCCCCAACATTCATTATGTCTCCCACGGAACTCGTCAAAGAAATGACATACCATCGTCTGCAAAATTATAATTTTACGGTATAAAGCTTCAAGTCACGTATTCCAAAAACTAGCTAAGGATTTTTTAAAATCACATAAACTATACATTAAATATTTTGAGGTATTTCAGAGAAAATTGTCAAAGGCTCGAAGGAGCTGTGCTGGAGGTGGTGTTCCCTGCATGGAGGATGGTCTTTGGTTTGTGATGACCAGCTGGGTGTTGGCGACAGGAGGGCTGGGACCCGAGGGGGCTCAGGGAGGGGGCCGGGTGCAGGCCTGCTGGAGGGGGACTGGCCAGCCGGGGCAGGGGGTGTAGGAGCTGGTGTGCGTGTGCATGTGTGCACGTGTGTGATGCGAAGGTGTTCGAAAGGGAACCAGGAACGAACGGGAGGATGCTTCTGTGACCCGTGTCAATGGGGCTTGACCTGATCTGACTACAGTTCACCGTTACTAGAATGTTCTACCACCAGAAGGGTCCTAAGACAATTTCTAAATTCCCAGCAGGGGACCAATCCGGAGGCTCCTGGCCCCTTATCCTTGGGCCTCAAATGTTGGGAAGAGCAAGTGGCTTGCCCAGCGGAGTGTCCAAGAAGCTGTGTCCCTGCCATCGGGCGCTCTGGCCAGCGGGGCCCAGGTGTCAGTGGGTGTGGGGTATGGAGGTGGATGCGGGGGGAAAAGGGCTGTGTCCACCTGTGTTTGGGGGAAGGAGTCGGTTGCTGAGCCAGAATGGGCATCCTTAGGATAATGCCCAACACCCAAAGGCTTTAGAAGCATCACTTAGATCCAGTTGCTTAAAAGGCCCGGACAATAGCGAGTCGATAAGGACAAGAGAACATTTCACACACATCTTTGGTTCAAGAAAAAGGCACTCATCGACCTCACTATCCTCTCTCCCTCTCTTCTTTCACTCTCTTTGCTTGGGGGGGCGGGTACCTAGAGGGCAGGCTCCGGGCAGGCCCTGGAGCACACAGTCAGAGGCGAACTCGAGGGAATTCTAACAACCAGCACAAGTCCTTGGGGGGGAGGGGGGGAATCTTTGGTATCAGGTGTGATTTTTCCAATCACAGACATGAACATTTGAGTGAGGTAGCCTTTACCTGGGGAAGGGGGAAGGGCATTTCACTACAAGTGTCTCTTGCATTCTCAAGGCGAGGCAGCAGAGAGGCCCAGGTTTGGGGAAAGTTCCTTCTAGCCTCTAGATCATGAACCCGCAGGAGGTGGGCTCTTGGGATCAGCTGCAGGCCAGTCTTGGAGGTCTCCCGGACCAGCTGAGCAGGGGAGGTGGGTGGAGCTCATCTTCATTTCTGACCCTTCCTACCCCCTAGTCAAATTTTTTTTTTTTTGGCAAAAAACGGAGCAAGCAGATTCCACCTTCTTCTCTGTGGAGAGAGACATGGCAAGCACAGGTCCACCCGTTGCCCCTACAGGCCCAGCGCAGCACCCCAAGTGCTGGAAGGTGGTAAGTGATTTCCAAGGGGTTCCAAGCAGACAGGAACACCATGACCCCAGCTCCGATGCTGTCTCGGTGTCCGTGGAATTCTCTGTGGAATCTGGATGTCTTCTTCTGTTTCCTGTGGTCTGTCTCTCCCTGGGTGTCATTCATCAAGGTGTCTAAAGCTAAAGTGAACTGACAGACGGGTGCAGGAGGAGGGGATGCGTCTGGAGTTGACTGGCAGGTTTGAATGTGCCATCTCTCCAGTCTGGGATGGGGTGGGAGAGGGTGCTCGCCTATTGGTGCTGGGCGGTGGCCATTGCAGGCCCCCTTCCCAGACATTAAGGCAAGCAATTCTTGGCACAAGGAATCCTGGCTGCCACTAGGAGGGGCAGCTGGGTTCTTGGCTGTGGTGGCAGGTCAGCAATCAGATGGGGTTGGTCTTGGTGTTGGGTGGGGACACTGTAGGGATCTTGCTGGACATGGCGACTTTAGAAGGGGCGATCTGGGGGGGCCGGTCGGGGGGTCTGGCTAAGAAGGGATTATTCTGAAAATTCCTTTTCTTTGTTTAAATACCCGGTTTATATTTCTAGTATGTGCTTCTTGACCCGCTTTCGGGGAGGACGCGGAGAGCCCTGGTTTTCCCAAGGCCCCTGTGCATCCTAAATGGAGAGGGAGCTGGGGAGCCCCTTTCCGTCACCCCCGCCCTCGGGGTGGGGATGGTGGAGGGCTTCCTTTGGCCTGGAGGGGTGGGACGGAGGGAGGAGGGGGGCCCTTTTGTGCACTTGGGCTGAGGGACGTGCTGCGTCCCCCCCTGGGTATGGGAGGCCCGGACTGCACCCCCTCTAGGTGGCCCCAGGGGCGGGTCTCCGGGCCGTCTGGGTGGGGTGGGAGGTGCGGGAGGGCAGCGCCCAGACCATGGACGCAGGGAGGGCGCGGAGCTGGGGCGCCTCACGCCTTGGAGAAGGTGGCGGCGCCGGCGGGACCCCCGGGGGCCGCGCCGGGCTCCTCGGCCCAGCGGTTCATGCAGCGGCGCCGCGCGTTCATGAAGAAATTGCTGACGGTGTTGAGCTCCAGGCCGAGCTGCTGCGAGATGGTGACCTGCATTTCCTTGGACGGCCGTTTGTTCTCCTTAAAGATGGCGATCAGCGTGCGTCGCTGCAGGTCGGTGAACACCAGGCGCTGCTTCTTGGGCTGCAGTGCGCGCTCCTTCTGCTGCTCCTGCTCCTTGCGCTTGCAGGCTGCGGTCCACGGCGCGCCGGCGGGCGGGCGGGCGGGCGGGCGGGCGGGCGGGCGGAGACAGCGCCACCGCGCGGCCGGGTGGGAGGAGACAGGCAGCACCGGAAAGAGACCGCCGAGCGCAGAGACATCAGGAAAGCAGACAGGTGGGAAGCACGGAGAGATGGAGACACAGCAGGGGGCAGGACCGAAAGAGATGGGAGACACAGAAGTGTCAGTAGGGTGACATGGAAGAGACCAAGAGGCAGCAAGAAGGTGGGGCAGACATACAGGAGCAGAAGAAGGGGGGCAGACAGTCATGGGTGAGGAGACAAGGACACGGGGCAGGTAGATAGGGTGGCGGGGAGACAAAGAAGGGGACACAGTGTGAGCACCTCTACGGGCATGGCCCATCACCCTCCAATGCCTCTTCTGCGGGCTGGTCCCGTCCCCAGCTCATATCCCCAAACCTCTTGCCCCACCCCCGCCGAAGGCTCCCCACCCCAAAGAGCACAACAATTGGTGGTGGTGGCTTCCCTCCCCCTGTCCAGCCCCCCCCCCCCCCCCCCCCCCCGCCGCAGCCCACACCTGGAGGATGTTGGGGGAAATGACTTGGAAATTGAATTATTTGCCTCACTGTAGGTGGGCAAAAGAAGCAGTTAATTAATAGGTCCTTGGGGTGAGTCACAAATCCCAGTAACCTCCCCCTGGGATGACGGGCAGTCCAGTTCTCAGGACTGTCAAGGTCCATGCCTCCTTCCCTGGGCTGTCACCGGAGGCCTGACCTACCGGAGGGACCCGCTATCAGGCTACCATTGGCGTCCAGTCTGATTCCAGTGTCTGAGCTGCCACTCTGTCCTGCCTCCCCCCTCATCGGCAGGCCCCCCACCCCCATCGGCAGGCTGAGACCCAGGCTTGGCCTTGCCCAAGTGCCCAAGGCAGCTGGGCGGACCTGAGGATGGGGGTGGGGTGGGTGCAGGACCACCCCTCCCTCTCCTGGACCACCTGGTGCAGAGCAGGGAGGGGCTGCAGGAGGCCGCCTCTGGCTGGCAGATGCTTGCAAAGGTGAAGCAGCAGCAGCTCAGGGTGTGGAGCAGAGCTGGCACCTGTGGTCCTCCCGCCCCGCCCCCCTCCAGCTCCTGAGGGGACTCCTTCCTCAAATGCAGTAGCGTCGGGGCCAGTGGGTGGAGAAAACGGGCTCTGTCAGCCTGAGTGGGCTACCTCCACCCAGGGCTGGGCACGCTTATAGCTTCAGCACAAATGCTATCAGAGTCCTAATTTCCCTGTCTCACACAGTCCAGGGCAGCAGGCAGCGGAGAGTCCGCCCTATTCCGCCTCCACGTGAAGGCCACACCCTCAGCTACTTCCCCAGCAGTGGCCGTGGGGCAGGCTGTCCCAGCAGACCCCCACTGCCCGCCCCGCCCCGCCGGGCCCACACACTGAGCTCACTGTTTCGGTTCCAGAACAGTGTGAACCAGATCAATGTCCATAAAAAGAGACGAATGTTCCTTGTGCTGTGGCTCAGTTCTCAGGGACAACAGGTCCTCTCATGTGAACTGACACCGCTGCACTCCTTGTCGCCCTGTCGGACCTGGAACTCATGGCACTTCTTATTGGCTGTTTCAGGCTTTATGATTAAATAAGAGCGATGGCTGGAGCTTACTGGACATTTTAGAAAAGTTTCTAACATGAAAGAGAGAGAGAGAAAGAGAGAAATGGTAGGAGGTGAGGGGGACGATGATCTCAAAAGAAACAGACAGAACAGGGAAAGCTGTCATTAATATTCTCGGAGCGGTGTGAGAAAAATGCTGTATCCACGAAACAGGAACAGGGTGGTGTTCCATAAAAAGGATCATGGAGCCCTGGCTGGTTTGGCTCAGTGGATGGAGCGTTGACCGGCAGACTGGAGGGTCCCAGGTTCGATTCCAGTCAAGGGCACATGCCTGGGTTGCGGGCCTGATCCCCTGTGTGGGGCATGCATGAAGTGGCCAATCAATGACTCTCTCTCATCATGGATGTTTCTATCTCTCTCTCCCTCTCTGAAATCAATAAAAATAATTTTAAAAATAAAATAAAAGATCTACTATCTCCCTAAAAAGAAATACTAAAAAAAAAAAAAAAAAAAAGGATCCTGGGAGGGTCAGACAGTGTGTTAGGATATAAATACATACTATAATGCCTGGAATAAAATCAATGTAAGGATTGGAACATACAGTTAAGCAAGTATCCCAGGAAACAGAACAAAGCAGGCGCAGAGATGGAAAAGAAGGGACAGGTAGTAAAGTTAGGCGATGAATTGAGCGGGTTTGGCATTTGGTCAAGAGGCAATCCAAAAGTAGAGGAAACTGTCACATAAATAATGAAAAAAAGAATGCAGGTTCGGGGGACACGAGAGTCCAGTTTAAAAGAGCCCGGGAAGTGCTCAGCTCAAGGAACGAAAGAAGGCCCTCCTGAGGCCCATCCTTGTGACGTTTTCGTGACCCGAAAAAAGAGGAGATTGTAAAAGCCCTGAGAGAGGAAAGGCAGGTGTCTTACAAAGGACTAAGACTCAGAGCGGCTTTGGACGTCTAAAATACTAAGAGCCAGTGGAGTGATGCCTTTAAAATTCTGAGGGGCAGCTGTGTTCATTTAAAATTGTATGGCTGCCAAACATCAAGCATGACGGTGGGAATAAAGATACAGCCAGACATCCAACGTCTTTCTGAGAAAGATGCTGCAGGATGTGTTCCATCAAAATAAGGAGTTAAATTAAAAAGAGGAAGGGATTCAGGAAGTGTGGTTCAAACTAGGAGAAAGGAAAGAGAGGTCCCCCAAACGAGGAGGGGAGGCCTAGAAGACAGCAGGACAACTGCACCGAGGGCAGGAGGGAAGCCACACCCAGATCAGAGCAGGAGCGCCACCAGAGGTGTGTAGGGGAGATGACCCAATATGTGTGGGAAATCCCATTGAATTATTTTTGCATTTTGTTGGAGAGTGTGGGAAGAATTTGTGACTGACAATTATTAACTTGTGGAAAACAAACAGTTGTGCGGGAAAGGAAATGCAGTCCCAGTATTCCAGTTGTCATGATATTCACTGAAATCATAATAATGTTAATACTGAATATTGATTTAGGCAAAATAATGCATTTGTAACTATATTGAAAAGCTGACAGGGGGAGAGGGTGTGCTATGAATATGGAATGATGGTGAGACAAACCCAGGGGATGAATAGGGTACTACGTAGCCTTCTGTATACAAAACAAAGGAGAAAGAACTTAGGTCCTTTTTTTTTAATGTTCATTTTTTGGAAGGAAGTGTAAGGAACTGCTTGACCTCCCATCTCCTCGGAGCCTGGGTCATGGGAGGGGGTCTCCCATTCTTTCAAAGGGGAGGCTGGGTGTGGACAGCGAGGCCGGGGAGGGGGAAGAGTCAAAACAGCCCCAGGTCTTTAATCCCTGTCTCTTCCATCCATTCATTTACTCACTCATTCACTTAGCATTTTACTCACAGATTCATCATACATTCACAGTAGGGACAGAGATGCAAAAGCTCCTCAGAAAGCTTACAGGAACGTTATTTTTTAATCCTATAATAATTCCATAAAGCAGGGATTTTTCTCCTTAAGTGTTCAGAGAAGGCGAGCCACTTGCCCAAGGTTGCCCAGCAAGCCAGGCAGGGTAGAACAGAACAGGAATCAGCGTTGACTCGTCCAGACAGTGAAGACGTGGGTCGCTCCTTTCCCACCCATCTCCCCTTTGTCCAACCAAGCGCCCAATGGGTGCAGAGGCCGGGGGCGGGGCCTGGGGGAAACAGAGTTGAGAAAAAACTTCGCGTTTTGTCCATCACAGCAAAAAGAGGCTCCGTTCACCCGCCCCCTTCCTTCCCAGCGTTCAATCTAATTACAGCTCCTCACAGCCCCAATCGATCCAGGCTCCAGTTGGAGCTGTTTACCCGAGCAGCTTTGTCATCCTTTCCATCCCCCACAGGCCCCTCGCCAGCCTGGAGGCCCCTGCCAGTGGCCCGAACGCCCCTCCATCAGCATCCTTCCTGGCACTCAGGATCCTCCCCAACAGCTCTAAAGGCCACAGCCGTTCCTGTGCTGCCCAGGGCAGCCCCAAGAGGGGAAGAGGCCCTGGGTATGAGCCCCTTTTACGGAAGTAAAAACTGAGGCTGGGAGAGAATGGCTGACCAGGAAGCAGGCCAGGGGACGGAGGTCCAGCATGAGAAGTGTTGGACTTCCCCGGGGCACCAATCACCAGTCTGGTTGTGCTGCCACTGTGATGGCCACCCCTTCCACAAAGATCTCCACTGGGGACCGCCACCTGCACCATGTCTTCTACAATCACCTCCTCTACCTGCACCCCTTCTCCATCCATCATCTTCTCCACCCTCAGCTCCTTCACCATCACCTTCTTCCTCACCACCTGCATCCCTTCTCCATCCATCATCTTCTCCACCCTCAGCTCCTTCACCATCACCTCCTTCCCCACCACCTGCATCCCTTCTCCATCCATCATCTTCTCCACCCTCAGCTCCTTCACCATCACCTCCTCCACCACCTGCATCCATCCTCCATCCATCATCTTCTCCACCCTCAGCTCCTTCACCATCACCTCCTCCACCACCTGCACCCCTTCTATCTCCATTGCATCCTCCATCATGACCTCCTCCACCTTCAATGTCACTTCTACCTCATCATGCCTCCTATCATCGCTGCCATCACCTCTCCACCATCACCTCCATCAGTATCAGTACTGCATCCCTCTCCCACCTCCATCCCTTCCACCACCATCACTTCCTTCACCATCAGTACCCCTTCCACCCCATCAGCTCCTGCACCTCCACCACCTCCACCACCTCCACCATCACCTCTATCAATAGCATTGCCTCCATTTTCATCACCTGCGCTGCCCTCACCTCCCCTACATCACTCCCGCCTTTTCATTACCACCATCCAGCTACTGTTTTCTTCACCTCCGTCACTGTCACCTGCACCGGCACCTCCACCGCCATCTCCTCCATTATCTTCATCTGCCTCACCA